TATAGAGCCAAAGATGCTAGAATTGTGTCGATGTCCCAATATTTCTGGACCTGACTGTATTATGGGTAAAATGAAGACTTGCATCCTTTGGAACTAATCATTTGTCCACCTACAGCACATGTTATTCATCTGGTAGAAATGGTAGGAGAGACCCTCTGCAACATAGAACAAAATCTGTAATGCAAAACCAACCTGTTTGTTTTCTGATGAACTTCCACATGTATCTGAAGAGATTCACAGTCATTTTGAAGAGGCAGTTTTAAATCACCTGCTGCTTCATCCATTTTATAAAAACCTAATTAAAGAATGGTTATACATCTAAAAAGGCCTAGAAATAACTTAATCACTCTAAGCATATTTTTATATTTTATTAGCCAATTTCTCTTTCGATTGTGTTCTCATTTCTGATTTGCTCATTAAAGCAGAGGTGGCCCCATGACAACCATTTTTATGGAGGCATTTAAGATCTAAATAATGAAGAATTTAAAACCAATTTAAACCAAATCTATATTACATTCTAAATACCCTGGAACAATTAAAACATATTGGTTCGTAAATATACACTACCTTCTAAATACCCTGGAACAATTAAAACATATTGGTTTGCAAATATACACTACCCAGTTAGAAACACAATTCAAAGTTTCTGGTCATGCAGCCCATATTCCTTTTGCATTATGGTGTTATGTCAGGTTTCCATTTGACTGTTCCCTGCACATATCTAGTTATATTAGGCAAAATCACTTCCTAGATTGGTAACAAACTACCTGTACTCTTAGTTCACTCAGGTTTTCCTTTGCCTTTTGCCATTATTAGTAGCATGGGAAAGTATGGAAGGATCAGCAGTATGCAAAGCCTAAATCTTGCTTTTCCAAGACACATTCAGCATGGGGAACAGTTTCAGCTCCTTCTTGGCAAGCTCACTGGGCAGTTTCTTGAAGAGGAAGTGACATCACTTGTAGGTTGCTTTTTCCTCCACAATTCTGACATGGAATGGGCAAAACCAGCAAGGTTAGGGCTGCTATATCTGGGCTGCAAAAACCCAAACAACCACTAAATGTCAGCAAAGAATTCATTTTAATCTATAGATCTTTGTCCCATCTAATGATTGTTGGGATTTTTGCAGCTTGTCTATGTACAGTAGCTCTAAGCATTGGGTTTCTGTTGGTGGTAACTCTAACTCTTGAACAGCACTGAAGTGATACCTTTGGATAAGATCCTCTGCTACAACAAAGTAGTAAATCCAAGAACTATCCTTCCCCTCCCTTCTTCCTAACGTTTCTTGTAGAAAGGAGCAAAAGAAAAGCCTTGCTAGCCATAGCTACCATCCAGTTCCCACTGCCAATTCTTCCAAGGTTTTGCAGGGATGCAGAAAGTGCAACCTGGTGGTCACATGTGGCTCACAAGTGTCCAGTGACTAGTCCAGAGGCTAACCCTTTTGGACTTTGTATTCACTGCAGAAGTTTAAGGGATCCATTTCATCCCTTTAAAAAAAGTAAAGGGTTTTGCTCCCACCAAGTGTTGGAGTATTGTCCTTTACTGCAATAAGGGATGGAAAAGAAATGTATTATATGGGGAGGGGGAAAGAAACTCCAATATCTATGTTTAGTATGATACTTCTCAATTGATAAAAGATTTGTAAAACACTATATTTGTCAGCTTTCACTTTATTATTTTGAAACTTATCTATCTAAATTATGATCTAGATATCTATCAAAGTTAAAAATGTTTTTGTGGTGTGTGGACTGAAGTATTGTACGCTTATCAGATTGAGGAAGCAATTCATTTGTTTAATGTATTTAAAATGGTTTGGTTATTTAAGGTTAAAAAACTGTAAAATTGGATAACCTGTTTAATTCTATGTGCTGCTCATCTTAAAAGCATATTTAAAAGCAATAGATATATTGCATTTAAAGGATAGGAAATTGCTCTATTTTATAAATAAGTATAAATTATTACATTGCTATTATTGTCTGAATAATAATTAATTTTATTATCAGAAAGACATACAATTAAATGTATACATCTATATTTTATTCATTTAACTACTGATATTTAATTGATTTAAATTAATGTATCTTTTTACTCTCCCTTCTCCATTTTGTGATTAGCCTAGGGTTACCAGATGACCAGCAAAAGGAGGATGTGACCTCCTTTTGGTCCTCATGTCCTCTGTCCAGCAGGCATAGCCTTAAAATTAAATATTGCCAGGCTTTTTGAGTATTTTTTTTTAAAACTAGATTGTTTTTACAACAGTTGTCATTCAAACATCTGTGTACAACCTTGTAAGTTGTCTTTCTTTTCCTCATCTGTCGACAGACTGAACAGCCTAGATTTATATTATTTATTTTCCGATTCCAGCAATTGGCTTCAATCCAGCCCCTTCAAATCTATGATCACTATAGTTTTTAGATCACATCATTTGTCACCCATTTCTATGGTGAAATTTGGAAAGCGTGTCATCACCTCTATACTGTTGCTAGCATTTTCTTGAAAATGAAGGTTTGAAAAATATTGCAATTGAAAAACCAGTCTTTCATGATGTGGAAAACGTACGCTCATATACATGTACGCCTAAGTACATATTTTGCTCTTTTTTGCTGTGTGGCATCCCCTCTCCTTGTCCTCCTTTTCAATTATCTGTAACCTCCTTTGCCTGTTCAGATATCTGGTAACCCTAGACTAGCCACCTCCTATTGTCCACCATTTTGTGACTAGCCACAGCTTCATAGCAGCCATTTTATGGCAGTGTTCCTGCTACATCCTCAAAGCTCTAAATATGTTTTCAAGCTCTCCAAAACTGCTCACCATGAACTTACTCAAAATGAGTCCACAATTTTATGGCAAATATCCAGAAACCAGTTCAGCTGAAAAAAAAAATGCAGTTTCTCTACACATTTAGCAATCAGGCAGTTGAAGAGCATAAACCCCCACTCCCACATCTTGAGATCAGTGGATGTTAAACCCCTATAACAACTTGCCTCTTAAAGGCAAAACTGCAAAACAAATGCTTGACTTTTTGTATCATGCCGTCTTGTTCTGTGCCGTCTCTTTCTGACAATAAAAACTTTAGCTTAATTTGATACATCGTTTTTAGAAAAAAACCTAATAGGCTGTTCATATTATCCCCCCACCCCCCACACACACTTTCCCTTCCCTAAATACAAAATAATTTCCAAGTACGTAACACCGCTTTCCCCAGAGTAATAATCTCTCAGTTCACTTACGCAAGAAAACGAAAGTCACGTCCAACAAGGTTTGGGATTACATCGGTTTCTGGAATCCTACGGCCGTTTTGCCTCCATTTCCCGGGTACCCGCGCAGCCTACTCAGCAAAGGCGGATGAAAGTCAAATTTCCTTCTCTTTATGTAGCTTCCCTCCTAAGTTCTGTTTCTAAATATTCCTAAGAAAAAATGGGAACAATCTTATATAGGCACATCAGTTCACATACTTTATAAAAGGCGAGGGTGAAAAAAACATAACACATGTACCTAATAACCAAGACGTATTTAATTGCGATCGAGAACATACTTTGGTTAATTACTTACGTCTGTACAAATTTCCCGCGCTTCTTCCTTCAGTAACCACGATCAAATATGAATCAGAAGTGTTTCCGTGTTAGCTTCTTACGTCATTTCCTTCCATCTCCGAGTTGCTTAGATTAGAGGAAGGAGAGGCTTTCAGGTGGGGTGGGAAAAGTGAGTTTTAATAGGTGATTTTAATTATAGTTATGGGGAAGAAACATAAGAAGCATAAGGCGGAATGGAGATCTACATCTGCCCCGAGTGTAACTGCTACTGGAACCGGCGCCGCTGCTTATGACGGTGGGTTGAGCGGGCAATCATGGAAGAGGAAAGGGAAGCAAAAAAGGGGAGTGGGAGGGAGACCCACAGATATGTATCTGGAAAAGCGTCCCGCTTTGCGTCCTTTTGCGCGCCTTTGTCACTGAGACCTCGTCTCATTTCCTCCCGGCTGTAATAGAACTTCATGGGGAATGGTAATTCTTATTTCCCGGCATATCCTCTACCATAATTATTGCGGGAGGAATCCATTTCTTTCGGTAAACCTCTGAATTCTGATCAAGTAAGACTTCACATATGTGGCAGCGCGCGCGCAATTTGCTGCCTGAGCCTGTACAACGGGGAGAAGTACATTACAGTAAAACTCCCAACTCTGCAATCGTGTTTAAACTTGGGGAGGGTACAGACACTACTGAAACCTCAGAGGGGCTCATGGACTGCTTTTTTTTTTAATTGCTGTGGTTCCGAAGAGTTCGTCTGTGTGTTTTTTTCTCAGTCAGATCCTGCTTTTAGATCTGAACTGAGATAAGGCTTGGTGGAAATGTCAACATTTCATGCACGCTTGCCTCTGCCAGTCTCCCACTTCTATAACTTTTGTGATTGAGGCATGTCTAAATTTGATTACAGCAGTAAGCCATCTGATGTTGTTTGAATATTAACCAATCTTGTCACTGTGTACACTTATCATAACTCTTATTTGTATAGGCATCTGTTATGCTGCATAAAGATAAAATGTGTGAAGAGGTCCAACTTACTATGATAAGGATTTCAGCAGAGAACACTGTGATATAAGTGAAGGGTCTTTAGGCTTGAATCAGGAAAAATTTACTGGAATCCATATCCCCAAAGTTCACTGCCTGACCATGGACCATTTTCAAATCTGTTAGCTAATCCTCAAAAATTAATTGTGAAGAAAAAACATCACAGCTCTGCCTTGTCTTCTACATGACAGCCCTTCAAATACTTGAAGACAGCTATCATATACATCTTCTCTTTTAGCTGTATGACAGCTATCATATCAATCTTTTCTTTTCCAAGCTAAACATATCCAACTGTTTTTCCTTTGAAGCTCCTTATCATCTATGTTGCTCTCTTCTAAACATTTTCTATTTTGTCAGTGTCTTTCCTAAAATTCAGGGCCCAGAACTGAATGCAATATTCTAGATGCAGTCTGACCAATGTAGAACAGAGAGGAATTATGACTTTTCTTGAACTTGGTAGCATACTTGCAGTGTAGGAATTGATTTGCTTTTTTTTTTTTTTGCAGCTGCATGTTCAGCTTGTAATCTACCAAGACATCCAGATCCTTTTAGTCCCCCTATAGTCCTTCCATCCTATACCTTTGATTTTCTTTCTACTCAAAAGCATTTGTCCCTACTGAAATTCATTTTGCTAATTTCTGCCCATTGTTCCAGCTTGTCAAGATCCTCTTTAATTTTCATACTTTCCTCTAGGGTGTTTGCTATTGCCCTATTTTTGTATCATCTGCAAATTTGCAGTCTTATTTTCTGATCCAGGTTATTTTATAAATATGAAAATAGGAATTGAGACATTTCCTTCCAGCTTGATTTCATCACTTTTATTCTTAATTCCTTTCATTTTCCTGGACAGTTCTTGTTTAGCCCAGTTTACCCACTTCCATTTTTAAAAAATCCATCAGAATTGCTCTGTATTTTCTCTTCTTCCTTGTTCTCTGACTAATATCTTCCCAGGAATCAATATCAGACTGACTTTAATGGATCTTCCCCTCTTTGGAGTTATGGAGATTTGTTCTCATCTAATTATCCGTGGTTTCTCAAGGATGATCCATAAGGCTGTCAGCTAGTTTCTTTAGTATTCTGGGATGTAATTCCTCTGGTCCTGGGTTTTAAAACTCATTTAAAGTAAATAAATATCCTCTGATGATGTTTGATCTTATGGTTAAATCTTGCCCCTTAATCCTGTTTTTCATAATTTCCTGGTGGAATACACAGGTTTTCTATTGGAAAAACACTGAACTAAAATAGTTACCTGTTAGTATTTTGCCTTTTTTTACTTAGTGGCTGGTATGCTGATTCTTTTGTTTTTATTTTGAACATATCTAAACAAACTCTTTTTGTTTATTTCTATTTATTTTATTTTGGTCAGAGATCAGCGTTAGATAACATTAAAACAGAGATTATGAATCCAATCAAACTAGCAACTATGTATATAAAGTATAAGTAAGATAACTAAAAGATTGAGTTTGTAATTCTACAATGCAATTATATAAGTGCCAGTTTTGTTGGATTTGTTTAATTCCCAACAAATTTTACAGGCTGCTATATAGAACCTAATAACTATATAGTAGGGATACAAACAAAAAGAAGTAAAAAGACTCTAAATTGATCAGTCTGACCAGGCAACCTTGTAAAATGTTTGGTAGTCTCAGTGTGCCCAGACTAACAGGTTCATACGTGCTCCAGAAAATTAGTTTTCTATATCTTCCATTAAGTTCCTTTACTTGGTTTAGCCTAGATGCTATCTGTAGCATTGCCAAATTCATTCATTTGGGGTTCTGAGGATGAATTAGTGTTTTTCACACACATCGCAACTCCTTCCTTTCTACTGTTTTTGTTTCTTTTGAACAAATAGTATCCTTTAATTGCTATATTCTAGTCATAGGAGTCATCCCTCTAGGTCTGGGTTATACCTATTAAATAATGTATATTTAATCTGTCTGTTTGTTTTAGAAGTGTATAAGGTTGTCCAACTCTGCAGCAACTCTGGGTGGAATACAGTAAACACAATACAATTAAAGCAAAAAACAAAAAAACCCAAACACCCGAAGAAAAGCAACCATTAAAAGACCAACATGCAGGACCCGCCACCTGTTCTGACCCAGGAATGGGGAAAGAGCAAGGTTTTCAGAGCTTTTTGAACACAACCAGGGTGGGGGCCAGACATATCTCAGGAGGGTTGGTATTTCAGAGGGCAGGTGCTACAATAGAAAGATGCACTTTCTAGGTTCCATCAGATGGCACTGCCTGGAAGCAGTTGAAAATGGATGAGACCTGGAGCATGCCAACTCTGCCCAATTGTACAGACCAGGTAGAAATCATGGAAGACAGATGTTCCTTTAGATAAATGGGCACCAGTCCATGAAAGGCTTTATACAGTGGGGCAAAAAAGTATTTAGTCAGCCACCAATTGTGCATGTTCTCCCAGTTAAAAAGATGAGAGAGGCCTGTA